GCTAAGAAGCTCTCTCTTGTCATTCTTCAAAAGCCAATGTTATACTCTGAGCATTGTTAACAAATCATAGTGAGGATCTAGAGGCTTTTTTTTTTTTTTTCTTCGTTTTAATCATCTTGCTGAAATGGCTGCCTTGTACATAATTAAAGTCTGATATTTCAGTATATAATGATGTACAGTGCTGAGGCAAAGAACTTGCTGCTAGTGGTTAGAATTGGCTGATCCATCACTGAAAGTATCCGCCTGGGAAGACAAGAATGGAAGGGCTTTTCTGGCTCATGGAGTTCAAGCTTAATTTCTGCAGAGCCTTTTCTTGTGTGTTATCGTATGATGGCTTTAAGTAGTTGGATTTCTTTCTCCACCTCTGCCTTCTGAATGGTTGTATTCTGTGGAATTTCAGATGGGGATTAACTTCTTACTGCCTTTATCGTTACCATAATAAAATAATACGGTCTGTCCATGTTCTGCTAACTGTGCATGAGTTTGATCAAATTTAAATTTATTTACCTTTTTACAGTAATTTTTTCACAGTTTTTCCTATAATTGGAAAATATACGTACGAGTATGTTTCAGTGACTTAAGTAAAATGCCATCAAAACTAGTAGGAAGAATAAGTAAATTAGAAGTCTAGATCTTTCTGGCTTTTGCAGAGTTTCTAATATTTATATGCTTGGGAACCTTATATCCTGTCTGTAGTTCAACTAGTCTACAGCAGCAGGGTCTCAGATGAGTATTAATTCGTAAAGCTTACTGGGAGAAGGAGCTTCTCTTAAGTTGTAAAACCTTATTTGACTTTTTATGTTAACTTTGATTTTTAATTTGTGCTTTGTGGTTTTCATGTTGAGTCAAGAAATAGAAGAAAATTAGTGTTTAGGGAGGGAATGGCATCTGCACAGGAAAAATTGCTAGGTTAATTTAAGACTTCTAGAGACCTTTCTCATCTATTCCTTCTCTCCCTTCTTCCCAGAGTTCCCAGACGTGCTTCTCAGAGAAACTTAGCTGTATTGAGGAGTTGTACCCTCTTTAGCTGGGAGTTCAAGAGTGAGAAGTTAAAAAGGACCAGTATTTTACACTTTAAAGTTTCAGTAATTTAGTTTACATTAACAGCCAGTGATGTAAATGGAGTAAACAATTCCTGGCATTTTTCTCTTTTCTAGTCATCTGTTTCTCATTGTGGTTCTCAAGCACTAAGGTCAATGCTTATGCTGTTCTAGCTTTACTGGTACACTGGAGCGAAATAAATTGCAGATTATGGCTGATGCCATTAGTAAATGAGATTTCATGAACTTTGCTGTGGCTTCTTTTCACCACCTCTACAGCTGGCTGCTCTGCCTCTGCCAGGTGTTTCTGCCCACGCAGCACAGTTGGCAGAGCAGATGAGAGCCTGCACCTCACTTCACAGAATGCAGTCTGACATGTTGGCTTACATTGCAGATGAGCAGGGCTTCTAAGTTGAAGATTAAATCACAGTTTGCAGTAAAGCAGCTTCTGAAGCTGTTGTGAGAATACTCCCTCTTGGGAGAGGGGCAGAGTAGACAGCTCCAGGCATGAACACTTTAAACATTGTGGTAGGAGACAGAGGTTTGGTAAAATTCTAGGTTTGTTTTTTGTTGTTTTTTAATTTTTTTGTAATTGTAGCTGATAGTGCTGGAGGGTGTGTGAGAACTCTCCAATTGGACTGTCCATTTGTAGCCCTGGATAGCTTCCAAATGGACACCTTGAGATGCTTATACTTGGAGCTGCTGTAAAAATCAGCCAAAGTCATTCCTTCAGATCTGCCTTTCCTGACCTTGAGCTTCAGTTTGTGGGACCTTGGAAAAAAAATACAGCCAAAGACTGTAGTAGCTTCTTGTTCTTATTAGGCTACATTTGCATTTACATGTAGACTACTTCAAACGAGGCTTTTTCATTTACTGAATTTGTGGCAAAGAAATCTCAAAGTCAGGGTTGTGTGTGTCTCAGTAGTTTCTCTCAAATGAGATCAGGAAGTGTTTTTGTTGCTTTGAATTCTGAGATTTTGTTAGCACAGTGATTTAATTATATCTGAGGATAAATTACATTGCAGCTTCTTCTCAGCATGGGATCATTCAATTAATGCTCTGAACTCAGCAACTAAAATTTGGGAGTAAGTCAGCTTCGCAGTTCAGAAGTTAATTTCCTAGTTTTGTTTGTACTAGATTGCACATTTCTAGGGCCTAAGCGGGTTTTAGATTCACCTTTACTTGGTTTGTGCAGAAAGTTACTTGCATGGATGAAATGTGTTCAGCATATGGTCTGCAGTTGACAGTACCTTTAACCAACCAATATGTTCCCACGTTGATTTGGATGGTACTTAATTTCCATGTCCTGTTCATAACCCCCCCCAAAAGCTGGGGTAACCTGACCATGGTGAGTTCTGAAGTGAAGTTGACCTTTGGCTGGGGACTTACAGGAGAAAGTTTTCATCCAAGAGCGTTGCAAGAGATGTAACAGACGTTGTGCTTTTATCTGAATATAAGGAATGAAGTTAATTGGGTAAAAGAGAAGTGGTTATGTTGGAAACTTCTACTCTGGTGCTGGAAACCTTCTGGAGGTGAAGTCTTCAGTTTGTCTAAAGCCTCCCAAAAAACCCAAACAAAACCAAAACACCAAAAAAAACAGGAAAATTACTTTTTGAGATAGGAAAAGACAATTGTACAGGAGTGTGATCTGACTTGGAGTTGGGGAGGGGTTTGGTTTTGAGTGGAATACCACTGCCTGTGTTTTAAATAAATCAGATCTTCTTTCTCTGTGTTTTGCATTACAGAGTGCCAAATGTCACCAGTACAATTTGAAGAATGTACTGCTCACTTGTATTGAAAAATGTCGTGCTTGTATGTCTGCATGAAGTATTTTAGTGTTAATGTAATAATACGTAATTTTGAGGCTACAGGAAAGATATACGGATGTTTGAAGCCTTTTTTTCTCTGTAGAATTCAAAACAGATGTAAAATTTGCAACAACTCCTTTATTTCATCAAGTGGAATAAGGTAGTCGGGGTATCATTCCTTTTCTACTTTGAATTTTTATGAACTTAAATACATTTTGAGTTGAGGGCTTCACAAAGTGTAGCATTGGTCAGTTTATAGTACAGCAATTTGAAATGCAGAGCCTTTATAGGCAGCCTGAGTCAGTGCCTATGCATGCAGTACTTGCAAATGAACAGGAACTAATGATTTTAGTTGTGTACAGGTTGTATTTAAAACTGTTATATATTTTAACATTGTAGTTTCATAGGCTCCTAATTACTACCACAGGAGTGTTTTTCAACACTTTGTGTAGTTCTTGCCGTTGAAGTCTGCTAATATTAGAGGAATAATCTGAGATGTGCCTGAGCAGGCTATTTTTGCGTGCCTTGCATGCATAGTGAGGCATGAAGCCAGTCATCATCTGTTTTCAGCTAAGAGTGCATTGTTAAGATATCAACTTGAATTAATGACTGATACTATCAATCTTAAAAAGCAGTATCTTACTATGAAAATACTAGTTATGAAATTCTGTTCTAGCAAATGTCTAGTCTTGGACATAGCTGCTGTGACCATGAGCTGCTCATTGTGACCAGGACTGGGCCTTAATGTTTTGGTTTTCATCTTGAAGCAATTTGGAGATCTGCCTTGGAAAGGACTAGATCACCAGTAATAACCAGTATAAATGTTACCTTCCTTCTTCTTTCAATAGACTGTCTTTTTGGGAGAATCTGTGCGGGGTCATATGCTCATTTGCAATTTGCTTAAATAGTTTCTAGCATAATAAAGTTTCAATGTGCTATTGGAGAGCATGGTTTTGAAATTGTTGTTCAGATGCCTCCTGGGTTATTTTGTTTTCCCTGCTATGTTATTGTTACATTTATAATATGCCATAATAATAAAAGTATGGAGATATATTTTACATTTTTATTCTCTTTTAATGGGGATGGGAACCTACCTCTCTTCCATGAAGGTATTTGTATATTTCTTTAATGTGCCGAGTTGTATATATAAAGAAAGGTACTATGTAAATGTTATTGAAAGATAAGGTCTTTTTTTTTTTTCTTTTTCACACTGACCAGTGTCTTCTTACAGGCTAGAAGATGTATTATGAAGGCAGCAATACATAGTTTGTTGATTGTTCAATATAAATATACACATAGGCATTATGACTACCTCTAGGAAAAAATAAAAAACGAAGTAGAGAAAATGGAGCACGATGATAAAGCACTGAAAGTGTCATTTATTCTGTTAAACCTGTGCTGCAGAATACGGATTTGTTAGTCCCTGATAGAGTGCCATTAGTATTTTAGCCTAAATGCCAAATGTAGCATCTCACAGTGCTGTGAGGGTTGTATGGTCCTCACTGTGGCTCAGGCTCATGTTGAAGTGAAATTTCTTTGTAGCTATTCCTATTTCACTGTTTTTCATTTTGTTATTGAAAGTAATTTCTAAAAAAGGTATGGATGGCCTTCTTAAAAAAAATTTTTCTTGCCACTTGAGCATTTGTATGAAGCATGAGATGTTTGGCCAACTATACCTTTTGATCTTAAGCACTTTGGAACATTTTATTTTATTGGGCTTTTAGGGAGATACCTGGGCATAGCATATTTTTTCAGGGATATAGTGAATGGAGAGTAGAGCATTTCTTAGCAAGCTAAGCAGAAGATTTAACGTACATCTTGCCTTGTTTGTAAGTCCCTTAGTGTCCTTGCTCAGTTCACTTTGTGCAATATATTTTACTGTAAGTGAATTAAAACTGACATTATAAGTCCTTTTTTTTTATAGCAGTTTTTTGGAATGTATTTGCCTTTTACTTTGACATATACTTCTGTATTTCTCTTTAAGAAGTTGACTTTGTATAATTTCATATTCCTAGAAATAATTGAAGCTTTTTCCTTGAAAGTATGTTGCCTGATAAATTGCAAGCGATGAAAATGCTGTAATGAAAGAAAGATATTGTTGATCTGTGTGTATTAACATGATTGTCCTTTTTTGTTTTTGTTTTTTTTTCAGGAGAGAAATAGAAACAAACAATAACTATATGGAGATGTCCTGCTAGAATACAACACTAATGATGTAGACTCTGGAAATGCCTAATATGTCTAAGAAGACGTTATTAAAGCTTTTTTCTGCTTAAGGTGACATCTTTGAACACTTTAACACGAAATTGACTCTTCTTGTAATGGTTCTCATCAGTGCATCTGCCCTTATACTCTCTCACCAAACACACTTGAGAACTGTACCTTCGTCAAGCACTTTCTGTCCTGAAGCTTTTACCAGTATCTGCTGTCTTTTGTATTTATGCATCCTAGCTAAGGCACAGGAGACCGAACGAATGCAAGGATTCATTAACTCTTTGAATTTGTTAAATACTAACATTTAACCATTAGAAGTGGTTCAATGATGTGAGATTCACATTGCTTCAACTTAATTTTTTCTTTGTTGTAGTTTTTTTAATTGTCAGTTTTTAGCTATTCAACAGATTAAAAGCAAATCATGCCATATTTAGTCCTGGAGTAAAACTCAAGTCTAAATGTTCATGTGAAAATTATTGTAGTAATCTTTTAATATGGCAAAGCAACTTTAAGCTGCAGTTTAGCCAAATGAATCGTAACATGAAATTATAATAGAATGACATTTCCCTTGTTTCAAACTGTTTGGTGTAAGAGAATATTAATATGCAGCTTGGTGGACACCACCAGTTAATGCACATTTCTTTATTTTTTTTCTGTAACATGTATACTGAAAAAAGTGCATTTGTCTGAGGAACTGTTTGTTTGCTACCACTCAATGAATCTCAGTTTTGAGTAAATGTACCTCAGTCTAAATCAGACTTTTTATGACCTTTATAACTACATTTAAAATAATCTTTAATTCCTATTTCTGGGTGTTTGCAAGCCTGACAGATTGCTATCATGAAAGTGAAAATTTACTCCTCTAGGTGATTCACTAGCTAAATAAACATAATTCTTGTTTAGCAAGCATATACTCTGTTTCTCAAATTTTTTTTATTTCATTGTGCCAATGTCGAGGTGTTTTTCCCCCTATTTGAAAATATTTTTAGAAAAATACTTTGATCCATGGAGTTGACATATTCATAACCACGTTAAGATGATTTTTGTTAGAATCATGCAACAAGAAATTTAGAATACATATTAAATGGGCCAGTTCTATCCTAGTTTTTAACCTCTTTAAGAGTGTATCTTTTGTTTCAGTTCATATAACAACACATTCTGTCTGCTGGAAGAGAATATTGAAAAGCTGTTAAGCGGGTGTATTGACTGTACAAATTACTGAACAACCTGTACCAAACTCCAGGGATAGCTTTCCCTTTTTAGAGCAGCGATGTAGAAGTCAGATATCTTATAGCTTAAAATAGCAGTAGCACATTTATTTGAATATGTTTCACGTCTTACTGTCCAACACAGATATTTATATTGTGTTTCAAGTCCTTCATTTACAGATTTTGGCAGTCAGAGTTCTGGAGCTTAAGTAGCAAAGGTTTTGTTTTCAATATAGATGATTTTGTTTTTCTTTTCAGCCCTTTGCACTCTTACTGCCATGCAAACACAAGAAGTTCAGTGCACGCTTCTTGCTCGTTATTTTAAATATTGTTGGATACTGCAGAGTAGCAGATATAAATCTTAATTTTTAATGCCAGTTATCTGGAAACTCAAAAGGGAAGCTACTCCTGTATTTTGGAATAAAGAAGCAATGTCACTTAAATGTTAGATGTGTCATAAATAGGAAGTGGGATAAGGGAGGGATAAGCAAGGGACAGATTGTAAAAGGAGACGAGGAGACAAAGGTTTCAAGCCCAATCCCTATGAAATCTGGCTTCAGCCCAAAAATTACTGCTTCCATGCATATCTGTTTCTTGCTAACAGGTTTTATAGCTATTTGTTTCCCTCTATGGGCTCATTTATTCCAGCTGTCATTGATCAGCTGAAATGGCAAAGGTCAATATTGTGAGTCCAGCAAAAGAATGTCCTTCGTCTGTGATCCCTCAAGGTATCAGCATGTTTCTGCTTCTTTGTTACAAAAATACCTTATGAAAATTCAAAACAGTTTCCAGTTACCAGAAAGCTAATGTTGGAGTCAAGCCTTCAGGAACTGATTGCATGTGCAGCCCTAGTTTGCTTTCACTGCAGTATTCATATTTTTGCAGGCTTTATTAGTATTTCCTGCCTTACCCCATGCCTTTTTTTATTCTAATAGCATGAGCATTGCTATTATATTGAATCAGGTTTAGTATCAAGTGGGTTCATCACTCTGTTGCAGGCTTTGAAAGCTGGGAAGATGAGACAGGATTGTGAGAGAAGGAGGTGATCACATTTAGAGAGCCGTGACAGTTCTTACACTGTTCCAGGATTGTTAGCAAATCTACAAATAGAAGAGTTTGATTGCTGGTGGTGTTAGTCATGTTGCGACCAATTTGCTGACTGCTGAGAGTTTAGTATGTGCAGCTGAAATTAAAAGAAATTTTATGTGCGTATAAAGTACTGTAAAAATAGTATATAACATTGTAAAATCAGCTGTGGAGTGCTGTATTAGTTAATGGACATGTGAAGCTTCTAGCCTTCAGCTTCCTTATGCACAAGTTCTTTTCCTCCAGAAAGAAAAGGAATGGTGCTTATTATCTCAAATAAATGTAGAAATGCCTTTTTTTGGTCTGATTTTTCAATATGGTGAAGGTGTTACAATGATTGCTTTCTAACTTGCTAATGGAGGAATCAGTGGAACCCCTTTTCTGTTCCTAACGCTTCCTCCTTCATACCAGCCTTTGTTTTCCTGTGATCCAAACTGAGCCAGTTCAAGCCATTTTCTGCTGCTTTAACAATTGGCCAGTTCTCTGTGACATTAGATGTTTAGAAGGGAGATGGTGGGAGGGGAAGAAAGAGGTTTTGTTCTTTCAGAAGCAGGTACCCACTGTTGAATAGGCTTAGCTGCACTAGAGCTACACACCTGGTGTTGGTGAGCCAGAGATGCAGCAGAATACTGAAAAGTGGGAAAGGCTCCCCAGGGGAGAAAAACCAAAACAAATTCTGTTTTCAGTGTAAGATTTTTGGTAGTGTACAAGAGAGATACACTATTGTCACACATTTAGTGATAAAAGGAGGAAGGAAGAAATGCTGAGTATTCTCCATTTTGATAACTTCTTCCAGTCTGATGAGGCCTAAGAATTGTCATAGAAAGTTGCTGTGGAAAAGCTTGTCCTACCAAAACAAATGGGACAAACTAAGATTGTAAGAATTTTGCTTGCCTTTTTTGAATATCTTTGACTTTGTAACATCAGCATCTTTCATGTCTTTTTTTGATATTTGACATTTGACAGGAAAAATTTCTGTCAGTTGAATGTGCACATTGCTGGGCACCGCTTTATTTTGAGGAACTTCTACTGAGAAAAAGTTTATAATCACAACTAGACAAATTTCACTTCTTCAGGTATTTTGTTATTCTGTGCTTAAGTTACGAAGTACTTACTTCTCTACATTATTTTTCTCAGTTTTTTTTTCTTTTTTACTACTCTGGCAGTTTCAGTGTTCACTGTCTGCAAAATTTAGATGCAAAAACCCCTTGCCGAAATTATTCCAGACAAATCTATGGCACTAAACAAAAGATAATGTTGAGGTGAAGTACAAATAATGTAATATTTAGGAGGAAGAATCTTAAATTTATTTTTCACTGTTTCATCCAAGTTCTATTTTGAAGTTGCTTTCTGTTTTATAGGAGAATTTGCACACTCAAAATATATTCACAGGATGGGTTGCGTTGGAAGGGACCACAGTGGGGTCATCTGGTCCAACATTCCTGCGCAAGCAGGGTCATCCTAGAAAATTCCTAACGAAATCAGTGCATTTTTTTTCTAGTTGAACCCGAGTTGAAACAACAGTGCTTTGAATTCTCTAAGTAGCAGTTACCTTAATTTTTCAAAATTATCGGTGACTCTTGCACCAGAAAGATTTTTACATACTTTGTCCGATTCTAGTGCAGTGAAATGGAGACAGTCTTTGAATTTTCTCCAGCATTCACATGCAAACCACCTTTTAGGAATGGCTTTCCAAAAGCCATTTGTACTAATTAGTTAAGGAAATGTAGAAAGATTTTCAGTGTCTTGTTTATCCTTTTGTTGGGTGAAGATCCATATAATTTACTGATAAATTAAGAGAGACTGAGAGTGGTTCTTTTCCATCTAGGTGTAGCAAAATTGGTTTCAATTTTGTGGTGTTTTTTGTTTTTTGTTTTGTTTGCACCATTACAGTGTGGGGACTTAGATGAGAATTCTTTAATATGAGAGTTGACCATTGGATCTTATTTCATATGTTTGAAAGTTTCCTCAGAAGCAATCTGAGTACATCCTTAGTTCTGTTTTCCGCCTGACACATTCAGTGTAGTTCAGCGTGGGAGAGGAAAGAATTTCTCTATGGGTCATAGGAATTTTGAGTAAATTAGTTTGGTCTCATATACACATACTAGTGTACAGCTGGCAGGCTTTCCTCAAAGCATCTGTTCTATACTGTCTGTTCTACTTTACATATTTTAATAAAGTGCATTTTAATATGATGAATATGAACCTTTCAGTTCACAAATTTAAATTTGTATCTAGTCCAGGCTTTCAATGGTATTTCTTTTCTCATAAAAATCATGATGCATTCTTATTAATGATACTGTCAGTGTCCAGGGTTCTCTAAGCAAAATATCAATAATAAAATTTGCTGCTTATTAATACTAGGAGATGCCTATGTTTGTGTCCTTCCTGCAAGTGAAAATGCAACAAACAGGGTCAATGGCCAGTTGGATGTCTTCTCCAATCAATTTACCTGTGTGTTTCACAATAAACTTGTTCTGCCACACTGCAGGCAGAGTGCAGATGGGTGGGTCTTCATGTGTCTTCCTCCAGAAGTCTGTTCTTAGTTAATGCTCAAGAGACAGTGAATTTCTTGATTCCCATCTAAGTAAGCATTCCTTTGCACTTGCCTACCCTTTCTGTGAAAACTCCACTGGGTACGTCTGCCAGCTGTTTCCTTTGCATAAGGCAAGCCTGGCTTTGGATAGCGTTTTCACAATCTACAAAAAAAGTTCCTGACTTCACTTATTTCCTTCTCTGGAGAGAGGAAGTCTTCTGACTGAATTTAGCTTGTCTCACTCTACCTTGTTTGCCACCATGTAAATAGAGAAATACTGCTTTTATAACTGAATGAATTCAGCCTCCTATGCAGCGTACGCCATTTTTTAAAGTTCACTCTGAAGCATTTTCATTCACAAGGTGGAAACAGAAACAGTATTTCATTGGAATTTAAGGACACAGTAATTAAAAAACAAGGGTCTACTTTTTAAGTGTTCTTCTGAATTTTAGTGCTGGTGATAACCAAAGTGTTAACAGTGAGAGTTTATAAACTGTTTGCAAATTCTGTGTGCATTTGCACTTTTCATCTTAATACTGAATTAACATCCTTTCCTGTACAATTAGTTTGCAACTCTTGAAAAACTAAACTTTTTTTTATTGTTGCTTTGAATTTCACCCACTCTGGGATACCATAACTTTTCATATGCTTGCACGAGTTTATGTGTATCTTGAGAATGAACTGGATGTTCATGTAAAATGAAACAAGGTACTCTAGATCAATTTATTTAAGTTGAGCTTGTGAATTTCCAAATGCACAAGCTGTCTTAATTTGTGCCCTCTTATGCGAAGCATTACACTTTCATCTTGAGCTCTGAATTTACACATTCTTTCTTTCCTGTTCTGTAAACATCTGAAAGAACCTCAGATGTTAAAAAAAAAGTCCTCCCTTTATGCTTAGTTCAGGAATAAAAATTTCCAAACTAAGCGTTTGAGCCAGCTAAATGGAGGTTTAGCTTTAGCTTGAGCTCAGCTATTACATTTCAGCAAAGGGGTGAGATTAAAGGTTGTGGCTCATTCATTACCTACTGTAATTCTATATCTACTGTGGGAAAAAAAAAAAAAGCTGAAGTTTTATTTTGCAAGCATTAATAGATGCAGCTGCTGTTCAGTGTTACCCAAGAATCTTATCGGTATTTGCATCAGTTCAGATTAGGAGCTTTGTGAAATAGGTGGTGAGAGGACTGGGATCTCTTCTTCCAGAAATAATAGTTAAATTGGTTAAAATTCAGATGTTTGTGATGTGTGACTGGAATACATTGGATGTTAAATCTATCCCTCTTCTGATAGTTACCTGGAAAACATGGCTACTAAATTTTATAGTGTAATTTTTTTTTAAACTTAAATTGGCTGTCTGTTTCTTTTCAGCTGCTTAACTGATTTGCAGCTCAGTTCTCATGAGATGCTTCACTGGGTCTTGTGAGTGTGGTGCTTCATCAGAAAATGTGTAAAATTGTATTTAATTTCTTCAAGTTAATGTAATGTAATTGCTATTAACTTGATCTGTATACCATTCAGCTTCATATTTTATGAAAATGCTTGGTCTTTCAGTTGTATTGATCTTTAATTTCAAGAATAACACATGCAGAATAATTCAGAGAACTTTTTTAGTTATTGAAATTTATGCTTATTTTAAATGTTAATAAATAACTATCATTATCTGCTCTTTGGGTTGCTAGTGAGTATTGATGGTTTTTTGAATACTGAAAGTCAAAGATGGAGACAGGAATGCTTATCGTGGGAAGTAGATGAAATGCTGTAATTCTGAAGAGAACTCACAGCTGTATGAGATAAAGGGTGTTAAACAGCCAAGAGAATGTTGTAAAGTTGGGTCTTCATTCTCCTTTCAGTGTAGCTTTTCAGATGCAGGAAGAATCTTTTGAACAAAGAATTAAAATTAAGTATGTTCACACGGTCCACTTCAGTTAAATTGGTCAGCATGTGGCAGGTTTCTTGTTTTGGTTCCCCCCCTCTATTTATCTCATGTCTCTTGTGCTTTTTACTTCACATTATGGTTTTGCTCTTGCTCTTACATCAGTTTACAGTCTTAACTTGCTTTCCAACAAAAAGTTCCTTGTTTCATCCTTTCTTTTAGTAAGCAGTACGTTTTGCAAGGCTTGGAATGTTAGTTGAGTTCAGAGCCTTGGCTGTTCCCCTGTCCCAGGTCATTGCTGCTGCACTAGGCTTAGCCAGCTGATCCCACAGTCAGTGGGTGACATTCCTATTCCTACTTCATGTTGGTTATCTGAAGATGTTACTCAGTTGCTAGTTAATTTCTGAAAATAATAATTGAAGCAGGCTACAGTGATGAGTTGCATCATTTTTATTCTCATACTGATTAAATGACAAGACAATGAAATATGAGCTTTACTTTAAAAATACTGAAGTTTTCCTACACAAGCTGTGTTTTGAACACTTTGCAGTTTAACTTTCTTGCACATTCTACTTCGTTTTCTCTGTGCCAAATATGTCTTAATGGTGTTCAAGACTTTAGGCAGACAGAAAAAGTTTGTTAAGCACAGCTTTTCTGCAGCATTACACCATGATGAGGTTTCTCACTTAGTGTCTGTCTTTATAACTAAGAGTAAGGTTGCAACTGAGGAACTTAAAGTCTCATTCAGTGAACCTGCCTGCTTTGTCTGCAACAGAAATTTCACGTGTAAGGACACCATGACCTTCTGCCTTCTTGTGATTTTTTTTTCCATTTCAATTAATCATACCTGTGGTATGTAAAAGGGCAATGAGCTGTTGGTGTATT